TTCATGAACCATTGTTGGCACTGATGTTCTTATAGAGCATTGTCACTGTAAACTTGATGCAACTTTTCACAAGCTTGACACACATTCTTCTCTTTATGGAAGTAAAACAGTTAAATATGGCAAAAATGCACAGTTTGGTCTTCCATCTTCAACTTGTAAAATCTCCAAAACTCAACCAATCACTCAATTTTTTTTTAGAATTAAGCTAAAACTGTCAGCTGTCAAATGACAAAGTAATAACATAGATGTGAATGACTCTAGTACTTACAAAAATGAACTAGTGCCATGTGTTGCAAACATGCATCATGATTTTTCCAGCAACCCAATATTTTTCTAAAGATAATACTATTCAAATCCAAAAAACACTCTAGAGCCAGGGTAACTGTGTAAATTGGGACACTTGAGAGAGATAGGCTTCTATTAATAATTATGCCAGGAAAGCAAGTGTAAACTGTGACTGTCCTGATCAAGTTGGTATGTATATTTACCCATTTATAGGGTTTTTAAAAAAATATTATTTCTTCTAAAGTTGTACATTAAGGGTTCATGCTCTTGTAATTTGGCCCATAAATAGTTGCAGCTTCAGAGTAAATGCACATAAGCAGTGACTTCTATTAAGACAATGATTTAACCTTAGTTTGACCTCATCTGTTGAATATTTTCAAGTTCTGTGTGATAAATCAGGAGTGTGCATCTCTGCTATATTAAGATGTTTCTAGTTGCAAGGGAGAATAATCATGTGCAAATTTACTTAAGTAATAAAGAAAAAAACGTGGAGGTATGTGGCAGTGTTAGGGTAGGTATGACCAAGATGGCCCCTGGTATAATCAAAGATCCTATTTCTTCATATCCTTCCAGATGGTATCAGCTTTATCTAAAGGCTTGGCTCATGGAAGAACAATCATGGAAGAACATGTGCTTTGCCCACGTCCTTGTAGAGAGAGTAAGTTTGGAATCTTTCTGGGAGAACAAAGGAGCTTTTCAGATGTTCTTCCAAAATTGTTCTTTGTATCCCATAGGTCCTAATGTATACATTTAAGGTGATCAGGGGTTTCTGTTTTTGTTTTTTAAAATAGAACTAGATTGGCTGTTTCTAAAATTCACATGAAGAGGTAAATGAATAGCCACAAAAAGAATAGCAGTGTGGGGCCGGCCGAGTGGCACATTGGTTAAGAGCTGGCTTGGGACGCTAGCTCTGAGCAGCAGGGCCCCAGTTTGGATCCCACATGAGGGCCAGTGACGCTGCACCCTCTAAGCTAAGATGGTGAACAACAGCTCAACCTGGAGCTGGGCTGCAGTGAGTCGCCAGCGACGGCGTAGACTGCAGTGAGACTGCAGTGGGCTGCCATAAAGCTACCTGAGTGGCTGGCAGCCAGCGTGAGCAGCCGGCAGCTGGCATGAGCTGCCTGAGCTGCCGTGAGCAGCCATCCAGTGGCCAGCAACCAATCTGCCTCACCTGGAAAAAGCCAATGATAACACCAACATGGACCAGTGAAGCGACGTCCTCTACAACTAGACTGAAGAATAAAAGGACAGCAACTTGTCTGTTGCCCTTCCCCGATTTCCCAGTGCTGATCCCCTCCCTCAACTCCCCAATTAAAAAGAAAAGAAAAAAAAAGAATAGCAGTGTGGGGGTTTTAGTCCCATCAGGTATTGAAAAATATGTACTTTAAAGCTTGAATAACTAATATAATAATGGCATGAATAGATAGAGAAATAGAATAGAAAAGAAAGTCAAATAAATAAAAAATATAGAAGAATATCAAGTCAGTGGAGCAAAGATGGACTTTTTAATAAATGATATTGGTATTGGGACTACTCTGTAGTCATTAGGAAAACAGTTAAAAATTTGAATCCATCTCTCATAGCATATGCCTTAATATACTACAGATGGTTCAAAAGCTTAAGTGTATAAAACAAAACCTTTAAAGTGCTAGAAGACATGGACGAATTTCTCTTTAACATTGGAATGGGGAAGCCTTTCTACAATAACTACAACTCAAAATCCAGGAGCCATAAAATAGAATTGATATATTTTTGGAAGCTGGCTCCATATTATGTATGTTCGTTTTCCCTTTTTTGTTTCATTTAATACCATTTATCCTGGAGATCTCTCCATATCACTACCTAGAAAACTTCCTCATTCTTTATATAGCTGTATAATCGATTGCAGGATATACTATGGAAACCTAAAACACACAATGAAAAACAGCAACATAAATCTTCTGCGAGGGAAACAACACCATAAGTGGAAACAAGCTGGGAAGAAATATATGCAAATCTTATAACAAAGGGTTAATCTTAATATAAGAATATGCATACAGAAGAAAAGTTTAACACTACATTAGAAAACATTGATCAATGGACATGGACAGTTCACATACACATATACCACACTGTAAACATCTAAAAAGATAAAATCTTATTCAAAATAAAAGAAATGCAAATGTAAACTTTACTGAGATAGTATATCGCATCTACCATATTGGCAAAAATTCTAGAATTTGACATACGCTATTCAGCAAGGTTGTGCTCAAACATGTACTTTCATACATGGAAGATGAAAATGCAAAGTTACATATTTCCTATGGAAGGGAATTAAACAATATCTATCAAAAATTGATGTGTTTACCTTTTGACTGAACAATTCCAGTTCTCAGGAATATCTCTTGCAGATACACTTGAACATATACTGAATAGATGTAAGTGCCAGGTTATTCAATGATGCGTTATTTATAATAGCAAAGAAAAAAACCCAATTTAATAGCACATATCTATCAATAGAGGAACAGTAGAATAAACTATAGTATATCCTGGAGTAGAATATTATACACCTGTATATAAGGAATGAGGAAGTTTGGGGTTTTTTTTACTTTTTTTTATATTGCTGAATTCAATTTGCTAATATCCTGTTGAGGATTTCAGAAATAGACATATTTCTGAAGGATATTAGTCTTTAGTTTTCTTGGAAGTTTAGATTATTGATTCAATACCTTTTCTTTCCTAATATAACATTAAGCGCTATAAGATTCTAAGCACTAATTTTAGTTGCATCCCACAAATTTTGATACATAACATTTTAATTTTTATACAGTTCAAAATATTTTCTAATTTTCCTGAGACTTCTGCTTTGACTTATAAATTATTTAGAAGTGGGTTCTTTAATATCCAAGTATTTGGGATCTTTCCATCTATCTTTTTTGTTCTTGGTTTCTTCTTTAATTCTATTAGGTTTATAAAACTTGCTTTGTATTATTTCAATTCTTTTAAATTTGTTAAGATTTGTTTTATGATCCATGATATGGTATACCTTGGTGAATGTTCCATGTGAACTTGAAAAGAATGTATTTTCTGCTGT